ATAGATGAATCAATCTCTGCGTGTATTCATGATATTCTAAAAGAGAATTTAATGATAACTATTGTCACATGCATGATAAGTATACTAAGATACTCCCATACTGATTCTTTATTTGAGAAAGGCAATGGACTTAAATGTCAAAAGCATATTCATTTCATTAAATGGCACATTTCGGATTTGTTTTATCAGACGGTGATGGTCAGATGATCACGAATTTCCATTATTCTGATTAAATTTCCACTTGCATTCTTAAACTGAAGAATTTGTCGTATTAATATGTTATTGAGAGAATGCATGAATTTAGCCTTTGAATGGCAGTATGTTTCTTTGGTCTGAAATGTCGACAATCATGTTCCTTTATGATAAAAACCACCTTAAACTCTATTTAAATATCTGACCGACCAGCCGCCAATAGAGAAAAATGCATGTAAGTTTATACGTGTTGGCATAATTTAATAGTCGACAGAGAATGGTACTGCTGTTGGTCGAACATGCGTGGCTACCTGTAATCAATCAAGGACCATGAAAAGGTTTATATGGTTTAAATGGATTAAATGGTGACTTTTCAATTTTGCAATTTAAAACCATTTGTGAAGTTGACAGTTCTGTTTATTGGGGTTAATTTGCTGGCATGTTTTGGTAATAAAATTCTGAAAAACGACCTTCATATAAAATCCTCTATGTTTCATGAATAGTCTGAATGAATCTCTACTGATTCTCTTCTCCCAATAGAAACCTCGCGAAAACACTTGTCAGCCATGGAAGGGATAAATGGAACCCAATTGTGCGATTCCTAGTAAGGCTTCTTTGGGATATTATGGACACATTCATGGTTGATCGGAGGTAGGCGATGGAGGAAGTTGCTCAACTGCCAACTTATTATATTAAGAAGTAAGTAAAATGGGTGTGGCGCATTAATATCAACCAATAAAAGATTCATGAAGATGGGATAGGATCCCAACATGTGATCATACAAGTTGGCATATTTTCTGGACAAGTGCATGTGATTCAAATTACTAAATGGTGACTTCTGATGTTTGGTGACTAATTTTTGACTGTGAAAATTGTGTTTGCATGGCATATGGTAATGATAGCAGTATTAGAATTCTGTGAAAGAAATTCTAAAACTTCAGAAATTGAATCCATAACTCTATTTGGAATTGATCTAGTCACCAGATGGGTAAAATATTCTTGAGAATTTATTCATGTATTGAAAAACCACAAGGGCAGTGGTAGAAGGAGGCTGCCAAATATTTCAAAATAGGTAAGTACTTTCATTGGAAGAGTACTAATTGTTTTTCAAAATTGCATGATGTTAAGCTGCATAATTATAAATTTTCTACGTGATATGTTTGGCCTAGAATAAAGCATGTGCGTGATCTTGCTTTGTTATGGAAATTTGATTTTATATATGGAATATTATGAAATATTCTAGGACCAATTTAGATGGAAAATATGTGATTTTCCAAAGTGTGGCTTGTTGCATTTTGATAAATGTTGCTGCATGTGGAAATGAAATAAATTGATTAGTCTCACTTCATTGTGACATTTGGGAATTGTTCACATACATGGGATTATAATATTGGAAGAATGCATTTGTTGAAAATGTTTGAATTTCCATTTCTTTGTTGAAGTATACGAGAACGGGAAAATTCTAAAGTGTTAGAATTTTATGAAAGAAATTATGTGAACTTTCATGACCAATTCCTTTATTAGAAAATGGAAAATTACATATGGATTACTTCATCTCACTTTGTTGTAACAATTGGAATGGTTCATATGCATGAATGTTAAAGAATGCAATTTAAATCAATTGTAATGGCTGAAGATCTATTTGACCATGGTTGTTATTCAATGATTAATTCCAATATATGGGCTATCACATTTGCTTGGATGATATATCCACTTGAATTGCCCACATGTTTCCATAGGGCACCATTTACTGCACAGTGCATTTGCCTTTATGTTGGCTTATGGACTTCGAGGTGCAAGTAAAGCACATCCATATTTGTGTTTTGAGACCAGTTGATTAATATTTAATGGGTCTAAAAGATGTGCATAATTGTGGAAGGATGCCTACTATTTGTTGAAAGCTCATGAAATTTCATGACTACTTATTCTATTGGAATACGAGAATCACTTGATAAACTTGATGGTTGATTTCATGTTCTATTAAAATGATGATAGCCACAAAATTAAGTGAGATAATCTTATGCAAAGTCGTGTTTGCATATAAATGTGACAAAATATGATTTTGTCCAAATGTGAATAAGGTGAACATATGCCTTATTGTCTGATATGATATAATCTTGTAGAAGTGACAAAGTGCAATTCTTGTTAAACAAGAAGCATAGTCTTATTCCAGGAACCAATTGAGTTGGTTTATGCTTGGAAAGGCATTATTGGCCTATGAGATGACCTTGATCAAATTGTGTGATCAAAATTAAAGATAGTTGGATTGAAGTATGTGGTGACTTAACAACCACTATCTGAAAGTAACTAAACTTTCACGAGTATTATCAAAGTGATAAGAAAAACTATAAAAGAGTTGATGAACCTTAAGTTCAATTGCAATCCCAAATGTGGGGGTTGACATATTGAGGAACTCTATGTTCAAGTATAACCCGAAATGTGGGGGTTAACATTAATCTTATGAACTTATATGAGAAGTTCAAAGATATATGGATGCAACATTACAAGATTGCATAAGAATTCTTAATTAAGGAATTGTGGGGGTAACTTAGTTTAAAAAGTTACCATATCCTTTATCTTTTAATCATAGAAATACATCTATGATGGAGAAAAGTAGTGAAGACCTTGTAAGAATGAAACACACTAAGTCTAAAGTGGATTAAATGGGTAAAAGCTGATTGTGGTGCTTGGAAAACCAATGGAATATTTAAAGAATATTCATTGAAGATTGTTGTAATAATTCAATGATGATAAGTGAATACCCAAGTATTAAAATCCACAAATAGAAGTGATTGACTAGTTTAATGAATTAATAGAAATCATCCAACGGTGTTTTAAAAATCAATAAGGCTTTAAATAAAACGAGTGAGAAGCATGTGGCTTCTTGGTGGTGACAAGTTGTATCTATGAAATGAATCGATCATTGGCTAGCTATATTTTGATAAGATACTAAGTCACATAAAATGAAAAGTAAAGACATATAAGTCTTAGAGGTGACGTCACAAGGAAATTATCAAAGGTGGAATAATTTTCGAAGAGAATTTAGCGGATCCTTTAACTAGACCACTAAATAATACTTTAGTCGCATCTACTTTGAGCAGGATGGGGTTGAAACTCATAATCTATAAAGGTCCACCAATGACGGTAACCCTACTTGTCATTACTCAAAAGATAATACATGGTTTCAAAGGGTAAAAACAAGCCATTCGATATGTGGGATGGTTGCAGCATTATTAAAATCCGCATTGACCCTATCCTCAGTAAAATAATGCTGGTTGTTACTGAAGTAAGGGTTGAGCATTAAAGCTCTTAATGAAATTCAGTGCTAAAAACACAAGTATCTCTAAAAGTAATAAAGGTACTGGAAGAACTTCACCTAAACAAACTTCGAGGTGGTGCCGCGTCAATTGAGAGTTGGAGTTTTTCTCTTAAAAGTTTGTGAATAGGATGAGCGCTAGGCCATAACAGTGCTAAGCGAGTTTTGAGGAACTTGAGAACGCGTGGTATTCGCGTGTATGTTCGAACCGGTATTGTCACATAGAATACTGGTTCAAAGCTACGGCTACCTTTGATTTGGACTATATTGTTTGGATTATACTATGGCTAGATTCAAATCGAAATGTATCTAGTCCTTATGCATAAGTATCATATGATTTGGATACAAGACTTTATTGAATTTTGAACAAGTGGGGGATTGTTGAGAATTTGTTCAAAATCAATATAGTGTTGAAGTGTGGAATGTTAAAACTAAATGATGGAAGTGGAATATTAAACTAAATGGTGAACGGAACCAAACGGGGATGAAAATGGTGGAATAAAACATAAAAAACCAAGCGGTGGCCCAACTTCTTGGCTCATGCAGTAAGTTCTTGGCTCATGCAACTGCATGAGCCAGGTGGCCATGCGACCTTACCGGAAATTGGAGGGGCTGCCTATGTGTTCCATGCGACCGCATTGATTAATACCATGCGGTCGTATGGGTAAGAAATTTGACCATTGCAATATTGTTTCTTGCTGTTGAAAGTTCAAATTTTGGTGGCTTTTCATTATGTTTAGCACCACTTCGAGCAGCTATCATCCATGGCTATATATAGGTGATTTGTGATCATTTTAAGGGTGTGAAAAAAAAACCGTTACAAACATGAGAGAAACACCTTTTGATCCAAATATTATTCCACATAAAATCAAACCATTGATTCCTTATTCATATTCAAATCATCATTGTGTTCTTAAAGTTTTGGAGGATCGCGCTTATACTTTAGCCCTAGATCCTTTACGAGGCTTGATATAATCCTACAAACCGTTTGCCGAAATCTTTAAACATCTCAAACAATCCCGAGAGGAGGCAAATATAGTTTGAGGACAGCGATTACGCTTTCGAGCCTTCATTTCATTATGTTCTTCATCTTCTTCATTTTCTCTTCTTGATTTGTTGGTTATTGGTTCTTCTCCAATTTGCTCGATGATGCAAATTTCCCAACAACGATCGTTTTTTATTCTTTTACTGGAATAAAATTGTCTTTTTCTTTCATAAAATTGGATGTAGAAACATATATTTTTTTCCTTCCTTTCCATGCTTTTGCATAGTCGACATACTCAAATGATCAATTCGGTGGTGAACAAGAGGTTCCACTCAAAATTCGACTATAAACAGTGTTTAATTTTGTATATCTGGCATAAAACACTGTTTAACTATTGTAGCAGTTCATATTAGATTTTCAATTATTGATTAAGGGATTTTCATTAGGTAGATTAGAACAAAGTTTAACTAAGTCATTAGATAAAGTCTTTAACAACTAAGCCACTAATTGACAATTGTACATTAATTTCGTTGAAATTTTATTTAGAATACGCTTCAAGAGGACTTATTTTGCATTACATGAGAATACTATATTCTTTCAAAATCTTTATGATCTAGAAAGCACACAAGAGAAACATTTCTCCACACTTATTAAATTATTTAGTACTCGCAAGGTATCTTTAAGAGGCCAAACTAATAATAGATATTTTTTTCTAGTCAATGTTCCACCAAAATTGTCCTTGAAGATATTTGATCACATTCGTGTCGACCTGGAAAGCTTTGGTGAGAACGTCAAGATTAATGGGAGGGTTAGATCCAAAAACTGCATTTGCAATTGTGATTACTCCTGGGTTTTGGCTGCTTAGACCCGCAAATACAACTGCATTAGTCTTGCCCACATTAAATTGGAAATGAATGAGACCTTCTGGAAACACAAAGACGTCTCCTGGATTCAAAGTTTTGGTAAAGAGTTTGTTCTTTACGTTTGGATTTGCAGGGTTCGAAGTTACAAATCCAACATACAGAGTGCCCTCCACAACAACAAGAACCTCAGTAGCCCGAGGATGTGTGTGGGGTGGGTTAAGGCCATAGGGAGCATAGTCGATACGGACTAAGGAGATGCCAAGAGTGTTGAGTCCTGGTAATTGGTTGACATTCACTTGTGTGACCTTTGATCCAAGGGGATTAGATGTATTTCCAGGCACATTCAGACCAGGCATGTTCGGTCCAGGAAACAAGAAATCATCGGCACTAACCATGTTTGGATCCTTGCAAATCTTTCCATTCACAAAAACTGCAAGAGAAACAGAAGCCATTGCTAAGCCATGCATATGTATATGCCAACATAATTTAGTACGTAAAATGTACTGAAAATTGTCATGAAAATTACGAAGACACTGAATGCAGTAAAATTATATTATTCCCTGGTGCAAGTTTGTAAGGAGATAAATATTAAAAATAAAATAAATAATTAAAAAATCTAAAATTTGGTTCATTCTAATGCTAAGCTGTATTGAGAAGTGAGCGTATTGCAACCAAGATAAGGTTGTTATTCTAGGAGTGTAAAATGCATTTACCTTTTGCATCATCATCCTTAACAGCAACACAGAAATCCTGTAGGGGGGCGGGATCAGAAGCATATGTAAGTGAAACCAATGAGATAAAAAGAACGGAAATTAGCAAGCGAACAGCCATATTCAGTACAACTGAAATTTTTTCTTTTTGTTGTGGTTTGTGGATGTTTATTTCGTGAGAGGGGATTGCCTACTTATAGAGCAGCTTTCTATTTGAATTAGTCATCAACTTATCTTTGCAGACAAATAATCTTACCAAGTCTTCAAAACATAATTAACTATATATATTCAAGAGCAGGTCGTTTCAAACAACTATTACTGTAAAATATTTATTCTTCTGGAAGTGGTTGATCAAATCCTGATTAAGAAATAACTACACTGAAATCATAATCTGTGGTTTGAATTAATTTCAAAGTTGTTAATCCGTCATTTTCAGTACGCTTAGGAAATTTTTTTACTTGCAAATGCAGATGAGTAACTATAATTTACATAATTCCCGTTGCACCGTCCACAAACTGGATAGGATGGTGTATCTTATCTCATATGTTGATAGCGTGTTTTTAATGATGGATTAAATTATGGAAATTGTTGATAATTCATTAGTTGGCTGGCTAATGTAAGTTGTTCACAAATTCATTAGAATTAGTCTGTCAACTTTTCTCTGTTGTTAGTCAATAAAGATAGTTTCCATTTCACAAGTCTTTAATGTGTGATGGTTTCAAGAAGAAACCGTCGTTCATCAACAGTTAACACTGTCTATCCATTTTTCTCTACATGGAAATGGCCTTTTACTCTATCTCACTTTTAATTTGGCCTTGCGATCGAGTATGACAAACTTCTGGAAGTCTTTAAAATGAGAAATATTATTAACCGTTTGATATATTAATCATTGTCATACATAATATATTACACGTCTTCATTTATACTATCCTATTTTGATACACATCATGTTGTCAAGTTGCTCCAAACTCAAATGATGAAACGAAAGCCAGAGATTCTGAAGACAACACAAAATATACTATTTCAGTTCAAATCATGCGTAAGGATTTGCGTATTATGTCAAATTAAGCTTTTAACCTTTCATTCTCACCCTTAGAAAAGTTCAATTGCGTTTATTATAAGTGAAAAATATATCTAGCAAAGGAATTCTACACGTGCATGGAAAAAGTCCAAAATGGCAACGATATATTAAGCATTGCGATGCCTTGCTTCATCTCTATTAAATTGCTATTAATTTCTACAATAATCCACATCACGTACATGAATAAAATTAATTGTATAAGACATCTAATTATAATGTGTACTATTGTATTTCCACCTTAGAAGTCGTCAAAAGGAAATTTTTGACAATGCAAGTCAAGTGATCGAGAGAAAATGCAATGTAATTATTATTTAAATGTTCAGTTGTATTATGTAGAGAATCGGGGTTTCATAGCCTTCATTTCCTTATATACCCATTATTTGCGTAACTTCTAGCCAATATGAAATTTTGTTCACACTTTCTCAATATACTTAAGTGCTTCAGAAAAAACAAAGAACAAAAAAATAATAAAATAATAAAAAAAAAGGGAGGTAAATGACCTAAGTGAATTTTGCTCTTAGTTCGGTGACAGACAACGTTTTTAACCATTATCTTTTAATTCACCTATTAGTGTCATTTTAAAATAATGTTACATTTTTTTATTTTTTTATTAAAATACAATTTCCTTTTTTTCCCCCTTTTCTTTCGTAAAATTGTATTTAGAAACACACTTTTTTCCTCTGTTGCATGCTTTTGCATAATCGGCATGCTTAAATGATCAATTCGGTTGCGAACATGATATTTGAGTTTTACTTCCGAACAGAAGACAAAAAAAAAAAAAATGTTAACTATTGTAGCAGTTCATGTCGATTTTCCTTTATTAATAATCATGATATAAGATTTTACATTAGTAGATTAAACAGAGATTCACAAAGTCATTAGGTAAAATCTTTAACAATAAAACCATTTATTGACTCTTATAAATTGACTGTATGCTAACTTATGAATAATATGCTTCAAGAGAACATAGGTGACATTACATGAGAAAAATATATTCTTTCAAAATCTTCATGATCAAAAAACCATACAAGAGAAACATTTGTCAATGCTTATTTAGAACCTCAACAATCCGAACAACCACAAACTAAGGGGGTTAGCCCACATTTTGCTCAATAACTTCCTCAGCATGATGCGTACCTTCGCCTAGGCGACAGTGCCACAATAACTGCCACTATCACCGCCACCATAATGACAAACACTGATAGCGACAGAAGACATAAGGTACACAATTGCAGTCGTCGTGAAACTATTTAGGAAACAGCACCCCCAAATTTTGAGAGTGGTTTAGATCCTTTGGAAGCAAAAGATTGGTTAGTAAGGATAGAAAGCATTTTCAATCTCATTGACTATCCAGACTCCAGAAGTTGCATGCGCAACCTTTATTCTGAAAAAGAGTGCAATGTGTTAGAGGGACTCAACCTCAAGGTCAAAAGCTTGCGGCCGTATGTGGGCATGGAATGAATTCAAGGAGAACTTTTTGAATAATTACTACCCTAAAAGTGTCAGAAATCAAAAGGAGACTGGGTTTATTACATTGACTCAGGGCTCGATGTCTCTAATTGAATACGATTGGAAGTTTGAAAAGTTTTCCAATTATGTCCCTAGCTTTGTGGATACAGAGGAGAAAAAGGCAAGGCATTTTGAACAGGGTTTAAGAGACGATCTAAGGCATGCGATGATAGTGAGATAATAGCAGCTTAGAACGAATGCAAATAAACAAACCAGTAACGGACGATAATTATAAAATCTTTTTTATTATAGTTTCAATTTGAATTTAAAATACGGTTACGATGGTTAAAATTCTTTTATTGGAATAAAATTGTCGTTTTTCTTTCATAAAATTGGATATAGAAACATACTTTTTTCCGTCACTTCCAAGCTTTTGCATAGTCGACAAACTCAAAAATGATCAATTCGGTGGTGAACATGAGGTTTCACTTAAAATTCGGTGATAAGCAGTGTTTAATTTTGTATTGTTAGGATATGGATGTGACCCGATTAATTAAAGTCTACATTAAGAAGAAATCTATTTGAAATTATATTCAAAGTCTATTGACAAATTCTAGTTGAAGTTCTTTTTGGAAGCCCTATCAGGAGTTCAAATTTGTGTTAGACATAAAGAGATCAATATATAAAAGCTTTTGGGCGTTCTATTTCATCTACAACTCTGCTTCTAAAGTTTGGATTGTCCCTATATATATATTTCATTTTTCTTCCAATTTACCTATTGCTTAAACGTATTATTTTCTTCATTGGTTGTCAATAAATAAAATTACTTGGTTCCTCTGTCAGTCTCTCTTTTTGTTTTAATCTTGTTCTTACTTGTGCACCAATACTTCATATTGTGTCGTATTTTTCTCTCCATTCCCAACATGTATATCTGGCATAAAATACTGCCTAACTATTGTAGCGGTTCGTGTTAAATTTTTCACTATTGATTAAGAGATTTTCTTTCAGTAGATTACAACAAAGTTTAACTAAGTCATTAGGTAAAGTATTGAACAACTAAGCCACTAATTGACAATTATAAATTGATTTCGTAGAAATTTTATTTAGAATATGCTTCAAGAGGACATATTTTGCATTACATGAGAACACCATATGCTTTCAAAATCTTTATTATCAAGAAAGCATAAAACAGAAACATGTCTCCACACTTATTCAATTATTCAGTACTCATAAGACATCTTTAATAGGCCAAACCCATAACAGATATTTCTTTTCTAGTCAATGTTCCACCAGAATTGTCCTTGAAGATATTGAATCACATTCGAATCGACCTGGAAAGCCTTGGTGAGAACGTCAGGGTTAATGGGAGGGTCAGATCCAAAAACTGCATTTGCAATTGTGATAACTCCTGGGTTTTGGCTGCTTAGACCAGCAAATACAACAGCATTTTTCTTTCCCACGTTAAATTGGAAATGAATGAGACCTTCTGGAAACACAAAGACGTCTCCTGGCTTTAAAGTCTTGGTAAAGAGTTTGTTCTTTACGTTTGGATCTGCAGGGTTCGAAGTCACGAATCCAACATACAGAGTGCCCTCCACAACAACAAGAACCTCAGTAGCACGAGGGTGTGTGTGGGGTGGGTTGAGGCCATAGGGAGCATAGTCGATACGGACTAAAGAGATGCCAAGAGTGTTGAGTCCTGGTAATTGGTTGACATTCACTGGAGTGACCTTTGATCCAAGGGGGTTTGATGTATTTCCAGGCACGTTCAGTCCGGGCATATTCGGTCCAGGAAATAAGAAATCATCAGCACTAACCATGTTTGGATCCTTGCAAATCTTTCCATTCACAAAAACTGCAAGAGAAACAGAATCCATTGCTAAGCCATACATATGTATATGCCAACATAATTTAGTACATAGAATGTACTGAAATTTGTCATGAAAATTACGAAGACACTGAATGCAGTAAAATTATATTACTCCCCAGTGCAAGTTTGGTAGGAGATACATTATTAAAAAAAAAAAATTTTAAAAATAAAGATAAACCAAACAAACTAAAATTTGGGTCATTCTAATGTTAAGCTGTATTGAGAAGTGAGCGAATTGCAACCAAGATAAGCTTGTTATTCTAGGAATGTAAAATGCATTTACCTTTTGCTTCATCATCCTTAACAGCAACACAGAAATCCTGTAGGGGGTCAGGATCAGAAGCATATGTAAGTGAAACCAATGAGATAATAAGAACGGAAATTAGCAAGCGAACAGCCATCTTTAGTACAACTGAAGTTTTGTTTTTGTTGTGATCTGTGGATGTTTATTTCGTGAGAGGGGATTGCCTATTTATAGCATAGCATTCTATTTGAATTAGTCATCAACTTATCTTTTCAGGCAAATAATCTTACCAAGTCCTCAAAACATAATTAACTATATATATTCAATAGCAGGTTGTTTCAAAGAACTAAAACTGTAGAATATTCAGTGGTTGATCAAGTCCTCATTAACTAGTAACTACTCTGAAATGATAGTCTGTGGTTTGAATTAATTTTGAAGTGGTTAATCTGTCATTTTCAGTACTCTTAGGAAATTTTTTTACCCGCAAAATAAAATGCTGATGCAGATGAGTAACTATAACATAACTCCCATTGCACT